ATAAATGATCGTTGAGATATTTATTCCATGAATATCAATTTCGTTTTCTAATGGGGGAATTCGGAGTCTGAGGGAAAGTGCTGGGAATATTTAGTTATTGTCAAGGGGATCGGTTTTAGTCGTCAAATTTGTGAATTAAATTACGTGAGAAAAATTCACGCTGAACATTCTTATTTATTGAGAGGCCTCGGGGGTGAAAAAAACTACTGAAATGCGCGGAAAACTTTGCGCCGTGAATTCTCAGCCGAAAGGGGATGAAAAAATCTGGGGGATGGCTTAAAAAAATTGTTCATTTTGTGGGAACCGGATGAAGCGAGTTGAGGGCGATCTGAAGGGGATAAATAATTTTGGGAAATGTTTGAAAATGCGAGGTGAGGGCTCCGCCATCTTTATCAATGCGCTGAGACATTGAGCCACTGTTGAATTCCATCATTCGCATACGTGGGCGTCCTCTTACTTCATTAAATTACAATAAATGATCGTTGAGATATTTATTCCATGAATATCAATTTCGTTTTCTAATGGGGGAATTCGGAGTCTGAGGGAAAGTGCTGGGAATATTTAGTTATTGTTAAGGGGATCGGTTTTAGTCGTCAAATTTGTGAATTAAATTACGTGAGAAAAATTCACGCTAAACATTGTTATTTGTTAAGAGGCCTCGGGGGTGACAAAACTACTGAAATGCGCGGAAAACTTTGCGCCGTGAATTCTCAGCCGAAAGGGGATGAAAAAATCTGGGGGATGGCTTAAAAAAATTGTTCATTTTGTGGGAACCGGATGAAGCGAGTTGAGGGCGATCTGAAGGGGATAAATAATTTTGGGAAATGTTTGAAAATGCGAGGTGAGGGCTCCGCCATCTTTATCAATGCGCTGAGACATTGAGCCACTGTTGAATTCCATCATTCGCATACGTGGGCGTCCTCTTACTTCATTAAATTACAATAAATGATCGTTGAGATATTTATTCCATGAATATCAATTTCGTTTTCTAATGGGGGAATTCGGAGTCTGAGGGAAAGTGCTGGGAATATTCAGTTATTGTCAAGGGGATCGGTTTTAGTCGTCAAATTTGTGAATTAAATTACGTGAGAAAAATTCACGCTGAACATTCTTATTTATTGAGAGGCCTCGGGGGTGAAAAAAACTACTGAAATGCGCGGAAAACTTTGCGCCGTGAATTCTCAGCCGAAAGGGGATGAAAAAATCTGGGGGATGGCTTAAAAAAATTGTTCATTTTGTGGGAACCGGATGAAGCGAGTTGAGGGCGATCTGAAGGGGATAAATAATTTTGGGAAATGTTTGAAAATGCGAGGTGAGGGCGCCGCCATCTTTATCAATGCGCTGAGATATTGAGCCACTGTTGAATTCCATCATTCGCACACGTGGGCGTCCTCTTAATTAATCACAATAATTAGTGAAATGTTGAATAAATTTATCATCAACATTTTAATCGATCAATGTCGTTAATTCAGATGTATTCACGTAACATTTATTCAAATGAGTAAGTATTCATATAAATATTCACAAAAAAATGAAAATATCACATTTCAAAATCTCCGAAATGTGGGGAACACTTTGCGCCACGAATTCTCAGCCAAAAGGAAGCGGAAAAATCTGAAAGATGGCTTAAAAAATTTGTTCACTTGGCGAAAACCGAATGAAGCGAGATAAGGACAATCTCAATAACATAAACAATTTTAAAAATTGTTTGAAAACACGAGGTGAGCAAGATGGCGCCACACCTATCAACCACCTCGTATTTTTGAACATTTTAATTAACGGATAACATTGAAATTAATCAACGTTTCGTTAATTCAAATGCTTTAATGTAACATTTATTCAACTAAACAAATATTCATATAAATATTCGAAAAAAACCACAAATATCACATTTCAAAATCTCCCCCCAGTGAAATAAATTCTAAAAAAAAACTATTCGTACGCTCATCTGCAACATCGATGAAATACCAAAAAAATCATAACAATACGCCATTGTCCCCCGACCCCGCCAAAATCGCCATGAATGGAGTTCTCTTCGAGTCTCATCCCTTTCCGGTCGCGTGGTCATGCCCATGACAAGATGCACATGCCGTATCTGTGCAGTTCCCCATCCGCACAGGCGTAGCCACCGAAAAAAGAATACCCAACGCCGTAAAAACCAGTAATTCAGCCACCCCGACTGATGCAACACAAGAACCCCAGCATAAATCTCAAAAGTGCATCCGCCATTTTCCAGTTACCAAGACTTCGCCGAATTGCTCATGAGCCTCACTTTATTCAAGCCGCGTTGGTTCATGCGCCCGACTCCGTCCTCGTCTCTCTGATGCAACGTGAGCGATAAAAGTTTTTACTTCAATGGCGTAACGACACACTTCCATCGCGTTCATGTCTCCACATTTCCAGATTATCATCGGAATGAAAAATGGCGGAGAGAATTGCACTTAATTTTCATCAGGCTGTGGTGATGTTTACACGAGTCATTGTGCGTTGATGAAACATCGCTGAGTGGTGCATCATTGTCTTCGTGTCATCATCATCAGCCGCAGGATCATCTCATGCGCCTCGAGACTCACCATTTCCCTCGAAAATTGCGCTTGCCGTTGAGTTATTGCGCGATTTTTTTTTGCTGAATGAATTTATGAAGTACGGAAGTCGAGTAAAATACACTGAATAGGCAATTATTTATTTTGAAAATTTATGCCAAATGGAGATTTAAGAAGTGGATGGATTACGACGCCATAATGCAGACATTTTAAATCGCTATAATTTGAAAATTTATCATTAATCTTTTGAATGAAAAAACACGTGTTGATAATTTTTTCATTTAGATGGCATATTAAGCAATAAAATTATTATTATTATTATTATTATTATTGAGATGAAAGTGAAATTAAATAAAAAATGACAAGTGTTTTTCATTCTAAAAAATCATGAGATATCCACAAAAAAAATTATAAAAAAATAGACCAATAAAAAAAATAAAGTTGAAAATATAGACAATTCAAATTAAAATTTTTTTTTTAATTTATAAATTTATAAAATTTATCAATAATCATTAGAATAAAATATTCTGGACTTTTTTTTCTTCTAAAAAATGATGAGAAATTCACAATGCACATTTTATACAGTATTATTTATTATTCTTCTCTTATTTTGGAAAAAAGAAAGCTGAAAGAATGCGCAAAAATCCAAATTATCAAGCATTTCCTCACCATCCCCACCCCGGACTCAATAAAAAACTGGATCATCGATGAGCAAAAAGCGAAAACCCCCCACAACCATGAAACTAGAAGGGAAAGCCTCACGAAGTGGACGAGGTTGCCACGAGGTTGTACAAGTCGACCTCGGGTACAGTGCCAGTGCCACTCGTTACATCGGTATTTCACTGAAAAGGGAGAAAAAATATATATACTCCAAGGGGCCCTCGGCTATCGCCTCCGTCTCGCTGTGTTCTCTCTTTTGTAATTATAAACTCGTTTGTGTCAAGAACTAAAAGCCGGAGTGATTTAAGGCCCACCTCCCCTACTTCTTTCTCCCCCCCCCGGGCTCCGCGGAAAAATTCACAACTCAATGAAAAATTGATCCTTTTTTAAAATTTTGTTTTGAGTTTAATTGATCTATTTCATTTAAATAGTGTGAAAAATTTTTATTAAAATTTTTTTGACAACGCGATGTGACAATTTTGTTTTGAAAGGATTTTTATTATTTTGACGAAACTGAATTGAGAATGTTTTATAAAATTATTGAATTCGTCGATTTTTTTATTTTTTAATGTTGAAAAAATTGAAAAATCACGAAATAAGTGGAAAATTGAAATTTTTTTAAGATAGAAAAATTTCTCTCCACTAGTTAATGCGCTTAATATTTTTTTTATTGAGGAATCATTTAAAATAAATTGATTTTTATAAAAATTGCTGAGATTTACAAAAATCTCTCTTTATTTTGCATTTTAAACCGTTGAAAAACCGTTTTTAAATCGCGAAAAAATTCAAGACTTCTTAAAAAATTCCCACAATAATTGAAAAATTCGTACAATTGAAAATTAACACCTGTCTCCATGAGTGATTCACAACCAATGATTTCTCTATTCAATTATTCTCTCAATTTTTAAGTCTCAATAAATAAATTTATTTTCAAAACGTCGACATTACCGAAACTTCACAAGATTTTCCATTTCAAAGACTCATAAGTTCCATGAAATAATTCAAAACCCATCAAAATTGAAACCCAACACCTGCCCCATGAACAATTAAAATCCAAAAAGTCAATTTCCCTAATCTCAATAAATTCCCTCACGTAAACCCCAAGTTTTCCGAAATTTCCCTCGATGTCAATGTCACCGAGTCTCCGGCCCGAGCCTCCAAAACCTGAGCTACCGCACGAAAAACTCTATTCCCCGCCCCCCAACCCTTAATGCCCGGTGGTGCCCCGTTGGGGTGGGGGGCTAACGGTCGCAAGCCCTACGGTCCCCACTATCCAGTCCCCTCCGAGCCCAAAACGCGAAGAAAACGCTGGTGCTCCAACAACACAAAAACACAGACTGTAGAGTCCCCCCAGCCGGCGAGAGCCCGAGAGAGAGAG